ATTTAGCTCATGAATGTAAAGCCTGCATTGCTATGCAGCGTGTGGCTTCATGTTGTAGCATATGAAAATGTGCTCTCACTTGCCATCTCTGCTGGAGTCTGTTCAAGTGAGAATGTAGATTTTATTTTGTTCCTTATATGTTAGGGAGCAGCATTTATTTGAATGCAGAGCAGGGCTGGTCTCATGTGTGAACGCCGGCCAGAGTAACAGCAAAAACACGTCGGCTGCCGCATTAACAGTTTAGTGTCTGTTTCATTTTAATTGTTTCAGACATAATAATAAAAAATAAAAAAACTGGAGCTCTGGCTGATAATTGTTTTCATTAGGCGATAAGTTAATCTATCAATTAGTTTTTGAATAATTGATAATTGTTTTGTATATAATATGTCTAAAAATAGTGGAACATGACATTCACAATTTCCCAGAGCTGGAAGTGACATCATTGCTTGTTTTGCCAACCAGCAGTCCAAAACTAAAAATAGATGAAACAGCAAAAAATTCTCACATTTGAGAAGATCCAGAAACAATCACTGTTTGTCATTTTTGTTTGATTAATTCATTAATCTTGAATTCATTATTATTAACCATTAAGTTCAATTCAATTTGTTGTAATAATAAAACTAAATTGCAGCTCTGGGTAACATGAGGTGACCGTTGCTGGCTTGTACAAATGTTACCAAGACTTAACTTACAGCACTGTGCAATACCCTGCATTTAACTCATCAAAGGCATGTTTCCACAAGTCCTTTCTTAGCGCTGCTCAGTGCAATCTGAGACATTTTTTGGAAAACAGCACGGCATCCATAAACTTACTCAGCCCTGTTATGGAAATGAGGGTGTTGGGAAGCCACATTGTGCAGAAACTCCCACAGTATATAGTGAGACAAGAAATGCTTATATACTATATGTGTGTGTAAGTCTGTGTCTGGACTTGTGTCATGGTCCTTGTGAGTGCCAGTTAAAGGCTGACATCACTGGAGTGAGGTCATTTTCTGATGTGATTTTTGGGCTTGTCTGCTTTTATCATATTAATCTTATGGTACAGGACTAAATATCGGTTCACTGTCACTGTTTCTGCTGTCTGTGTGTGTATCCTTGTGTCTGTCTTGGTGTAAATATCAGTATTTATGTATGTTTTGTTTTGTCTTCTGTAGTTAACCTTTTCTTGGCAGCTTAACATATGCTTTGGCTGCAGAACAGTCTAAGCTGTAATGGGTGGTATCATATACACTGCAGGAAGAAATCCCCTTCACTTCTAGCGCCCTCAAGGACTTCTCCTCAGCCGCTCCTCCATGACCGTTTTCAACCCCTTGTTACGCAATGGATTGTTACTGCATGTGTGCATGTGTGTTTGTCTCTTGGATAGGGAGTCATTATCAGATGAATGCTGCTGTAGCCAGTTAAGCCATGAGTGGAGCCCCTTCAGACTGATGACTGACACGTGGTGACCACTGCACAGGATGCATGTTTGGCTTCTGACTCACTTCTGACTCCTGTTTAATTGATTTTTAGCTCAGCGACCTGACCTAAGACCTATAGTACTCTGGGAGGTTATATTTGAAATGAACACACCAAGAGGCACGAGAGGCCGACATGCACAGTCCCATTGCCTGGACTACACTGTTTATGTGTATGTTTGTGTGTGTTTCCGTGATAATGGACCATCTAGTTAATAATGCAGCAGAGAGATCGCACTGCACCACCTTTACTCATGAAAACTCATTTTCCCTTTGTTGCTCTCTCTCCCTCCCTCCCTCCCTCCCTCTTTCTCTCTCTCTCTCTCTCTCTCCCATCCTCAGGCTATCCTTACAAAACTATTTCATTTGTCCCCATCGACCCGGTCTGTCAGTATTTGCACAGCCAATATAAAGTCTGGGAGGAGAGAAGCTGTTCAAATGTAAGGGCGCACACAGGATTAGAAAATCATGCTCTGTACAGTGTGAATTAACTTTTGACTGTCATATTTCTTTGGCCACAGGGTTAATGGTGTTCAGTAGCTTAGACAGGGATACCGATAAAGAAACAGACTAATTTCAGACTGTCATTCAACTCATCCCCTTTACAAGTCTGAGACTATTCCTGTTGCTACATGAAATCATTATGAAATCATTATATCTCTTTTACCCCTTTCAAACTCCCTGTTAGATGCTTCACGTCGCTTTGCACATTGATAACAATCAGGTTTTTTCATTAGCAGTCAACTAAATGTGGCTCATCTGAGAAGCTGCATTTGTGATTGCGACTAAATTGTGATTTAATTACAGTATTTCTGTGGCAAATTACTTTTTTTTTTTTTTTTACGTCTTTCATGCCCTCCCACACACTTCTCTTCTGGGGGTCATGTTTGTAAGTCTTTGGCTCCATCCTGATAACAAACTGCCATTTCAGCTTCTGTCTACGAGTTCAGCACCAACATAATAGAGCGTCCTCACAGCTCAGTGATTTCCGGTCAGTGCGATGGAAGGTGGATAGATGGATGAATGCCAGGGGATTTTGAGTGAGTCAGACATTGTCTCATCTCAGGCATGTCTCATTTTTCATATTTGTCCTCTTCAGTTTTTCTCACTCTGCATTTCCTCCTCGGCCCTCCTACTCAAGACACGATGAGAAGATGCGAAGGAGGAAGAAGCGAGGCAATCAGATTTTATCAAATGAGACGTTTTTCCCAGTCAAGCATCATCTGAATTGACATCATTTAGTGACAACAGGTGCCCGGCTGAGGCATCTGAGTGAACTTGTAGCTGCTCTGTATCGTCTTTTTAGTTTTTAAGTTTTGTTGTCTAATGAAATATATTTTTCATACAGTCGCTGGAAAACGCACTTTTAGTTCACAAGTAGTTTCCTGGGTTTTTAATTTGCATCTAGATTTATTCACGCTTACGTTTTTTTTCTCTTTATTATTTAGTTTTAATTACGATCTCGTTATGTGTCGAAATAGTTGAGTAAATTTAAATTATGTTTTTTCTGCCCAATCTGATTTGGTCACTCCACTGTGACAAAATAGGAAACACATTTACAGACAATATAAATGTGTTTATTGCTGAAAGAACACACCATGGACAAGTCAAGAATCAGGGTAAAGTCTTTTGTTGACTTTTAAGGCTCCTCACGGCCTCTCTCCATACTATATATCTGACCTGTTAGTTGCATATGAACCATTATGTAGGCTGACATCCTTGAGCAGAGGTCTTTTATCTGGTCCCAAGGTGTGGCTGAAAACTCGAGGTGACAGAGCATTCGCTGTCAGAGCCATGAAGCTGTGGAACGAGCTGCCTGAGGAAATCAGGTCAGCAGAATCAGTGACCTCTTTTAAATCTCTTTTTAAAACATATTTTTATCAGAGAGCTTGCCCTTATTTTATTTGATTTTCATTGACTGTGATTTTTGCTGGCGACACTGTATTTGGTTTTATTTGTCTATTTGCTCATGACTCTATTGGAATTTGTTTTTATGTTCTGCTTGTTGTGAAGTTTTGTGCCTTGTGTGAAGCAGCTTGTAACGTGATTATTATATCCGAATTTGTGCAGCTGTGTCTTCAGTCTGTGCTTGTATTTTGACAAAACTGCAGTGTAGTCAGCGCAGCTGCAGTATCCAATAACCTATAGATTTCCAATAAAGTGGGGTATCTTTCCAACAATAGACTTCCACATAGGATGCTCTCATGTATCCTCACTGAAGTCTCCTTTGGGATTCCTTCTCTTTCCTCATTCCTTGCACCACTGAGCAGCATTAAGAGAACTGACATGTCCCTACTGATGGCCACCCAATATTTTTCTGTGCTTTTTGGGGACAAATGAATGACGAGATGTGAAATAAAAAAATGCATCATCCTGCACCCATGGCTACAGTCCCTCGCATGACTCCCAGGTTTTTTGCCTCTTTGCCACAACAGATTTGTATCCGTCTCATTTTTATTTTATTGCTGTACGGTGTATCAACTGTGGATTGCCTTTACCTAGCACCCTACTGACGTGGATTCAGTGGAACAGCCTCCTTAAAAGATTAAAAGTGTTGGTAAGAGGGGCAGTGTGAAGTGATGTCATATCTCTCCTAGACCAGAACACGCTCTCTGTCTGTTTTTCTCTCCACTCCCCTCTTTTGGGCAGCACATGTAGACAGCACAAGAGTCCATGGAGCGATCATGTGAACTCTTCAACCTCTCTCCTCCCACTTGCTGTGCTCTTCTTCTGTGCCTCCAAACAGGCAGCTGCACATTGAGGGAGACAGAACTGTGACCGGTGAAAGCAAACCGTGATCTTCTCCTCTGCCATGCGTCTCTTCTCACTCCCATAAAGGCCCCCTCCGCCTCCAAAATTCTCCTTCAGCCGGTTGCTAAGCAGCACAGGGAGAGCTTGACAGTGTTGACGTTGTGTGCGCGGGACTACTTCCTGTAAACAGCCGAGTGGGTGCTCTTTGCTCTCAGCTACAGAGGGAAGGAGCGAGTGAGACGAGACGGCCTAAAATAACCTTTTCTGACTCGCACAAAAGAGACGTGATGACGCGCAGTGATGAGGAAAGAAAAAGAAGTGTTATTTCATTCCCAGTGAAAATTTCACAGGGAGCTGAGATAGCTGATAGCTACAGGAGTTTTAGGAGCCTTTGAACTATGGTTCCTTTTTTTTTCACTGCCAGAAAGCATGAGGCTTGGAATAAAAATGAACACAGCTGACAAGGGCCATTTAGGCAGAGAGCTGGTGTCATTCTGCATACAGCAGGGCTGTTTGTGTATGTGCACACTCACTGGACACAACTCACAATGCATTTTCAGTCTGTGCTCATACCGTCATGCTGATTGTGTCACAACAAATAAAGCACTTCTTGGACTTATTATGTCAGACACAAACAAAAATGAGCCACAAATATTCTCACTTTAAGAGTTTCTTTCATCATCAGCAGGATTATGCGTATTCTTAGTCTCATTCTTTCTCAGGATGCATTTTGCTTCACTAACTGTAGCTCTCTCATTTTGCACCCTCCTCTTCCTTCCCTTTGTGTTTCAGCTCTGTGGCGGTGAAGATGACCACGGCACGGTACCGTCCCACCTGGGAGCTGGCCGTGGACCCCCTGGTCTCATGTAAGCTGTGCCTTGGAGAGTTCCCTCTGGAGCAGATGACCACCATCACACAGTGCCAATGTGTCTTCTGTACACTGGTGAGCAGGTCACTCCACAAACGGCAACAAGCTTCCTGGAGCTGTCAACTGGATGATGATTTAAGTACAGGAATTTCACCGTATTGAAATCAGTAATGGCTTCAGGATCTATTACAAATGTCACATCCTTTCTGTGTAACACTGGCCCTGTGTGAAAAGGCCAGGACAGAGGAACAGTAACACCCATTTGCTGTCAGATCTTAACAAATCCAATTCACAGATAAAGAAACAATGTCTAAAAATTACCTCTAAAAATAGCATCCACTTCCTAGAACACAGCCTGGGTGGTGGCAGTAATTACCAAAGTTCAGTTAGCAGAGTTTATTCTCGAGGTCAGCCACAATGTAAACACAAACAGGGACTGATATCTCACTTTAGCTGCTTTATTATCAACCATTTTATATTAGATTTCAATTTAAAAATGTTTGGCTTACATTTAAGAAAAGTACAGTTTACTGATACAATATATAAACATATGCCGGTGCATGTCTGTCTCCTAAATATAAATTTGAATAGATCTAACCTGTTTAGATTAGGATAGGACTGTTATTTTGTTGTTTTGTTTATTTAAACTTGGAAGAGACATCTCTGTGGCTTCCTGAAAGAGCTGAAGGTAGAGATTACATGGTTCAAATGTTACTTTTAACTTTTACATAAAGCAACAAATTATTTCCTGTATGTATGTATGTTTTTTTTTTTTTTTTGGTGCCACTAGATTGTGGGTAGTGGGAACAAGCCAAAAGCACAATAATGATATATTTTCATCTTTATAAATTTGATATGACAAATGTACACATTTCTGTCCATCTGACTAGTGTAAATCACTCTTCTTTAGCTCTGTTTTGGTTTCTACAACCTAAATGCTCACCTTCTTCACCAGCTATTTGCTAACTGTGTCTGTCTATTGTTCGGTACTGGACAAGTGAAATGTAGAGTGGGTTTGTCTTTGCTGCGCATTTGAAACCGGGGTTGAGAGTGAAACTGACCCAAAAACAGTGAAGCTGTGGGCACTAAAACCAAAACAATCAGCTGAAAGAAACTAAACCGCTCCGTAGAGCCGAGGGAAACTGTTGAGTTAGATGATAACTCTTGTGGGTTTGTCACTGCTAGCGGAAGTTTTGAGCTCTAGACAGTGACCGAGACTCTTAGGTCAGTGTTTGTTTACCAACTTTTCTGGTGCGTGGTCTGTTTGTTTTGCTTTTCTTTTTTTTTTTCATGTAACTGACTGACTGGATATTGCACTGGGTCAATGTTGTGTTTGTCTGTTTTCCCTCAGTGCCTGAAGCAGTATGTGGAGCTCCTGATTAAAGAAGGCCTTGAAACTGCAATTAGCTGTCCAGACTCTGCCTGTCCCAAAAGAGGACACTTGCAGGAAAGTGAGGTATTGATCATGAGATTTATTTGTCATTTAGTTGGTGACTGGTTGCCGATGTTGCCATGAGTGTCATGAACTTCTCTAATAGTGTCCAGTATGTCTTAGCTCCGGATTGGACTGAGACTAGACCTAAGCAGTACAGCAATTTCCATAAACAATGGTCTCTTTTTATTTTCAAATTGATATATATATATATGTGACAGTGTGCATGATTGGAGCTTGAACAACAAGCTGGCATTTGCATGTACATTAATGTACTGTATGTGCATGCAAATGTTGCACACTGGTAATGTATGTGCTTGAAATGAGGGAAAAAAACACATCACTTGTTATCGCTACAATTCAGTTTTCCCATGTTATGCATCTCCTATGAAGCTGCTGTTTTTTCCTTCCATGTGAATTAGCAGTAATTGTTGAAATGAACACATCTGCAGTTACTCTAACACCTCTGTGCACCCTCAAAGCTCAAGATGACCACTGCGCTCCACCTGCCAGTGTGTTTATTCCATGATAATGAGTGTTCCTGTGTGCCTGCCTTCCTCACGTAGGGTCAATCTGAGGGCAAAGCGCTCTTCATCCTCTAGGCATTTTAGTTGATGGACTTGCTCAGTCTTGGAAGCCCATAGGCTCAGCGTGGTTCAGCCTTATGCTTCTAATCAATCGGTGTCAGCGGCCCTTAATGGAACCCTAGCTAGTCCTGCCAGTCAGGCGAAGCATGCCTCATCCCTGTCTTCTCTGACAGCAGTGCCATCACCTTGTAATTGACTGCTCTTTTACAAAGCCCAGATACTCGTTTCATTGCCCAATAAATGAGTGAACTTAACCTTGAGTGGGCGTGAGTATGCACCTTGAATACATTCTGGCAATTGGATTCTCCTTTTCTATCTCAGAACGGGGTAAAGGGCCTTATTGGTAAGCAAGTGGCAAGTTCTTATCGTGTAGAAATTAGAATTTGACATTGTTCTGGAGTTGACATTCGCATACTGAATGTATAATTGCTTCATGCTGCTTCTGTCTATAAATATGCACAATGACCTGCTTATTTCCCTCCCACCTCTCCTCTCCTCTTCTCCCTGTAGATTGAGTGCATGGTGGCCACGGAAATGATGCAGAGATACAAGAAGCTTCAGTTTGAGAGGGGTGAGTCAGTGCAGAAACAGCCGCAGTACATCAGCGATCGCTCCTCAGTGTGTGGGCAATGACTGTCAATCGCAGAGACACGTGGATCCTCCTGTCCTCCAGGGATACTGTATTTTACCATGGCACACAAAAGCACGGCGACAGTCCTGTCCTGCACGTGTAGCCGAATTGTAGCTCGCTCTGCCTGGAATCAATCATTCACCCCCTGTGGACATTTTCGCTATTGAGTTACGCCATGGGGTCTCGGCAGACAGCTAATAGAAAAGATTTGAGCAATGCTTGTTTGCTCAGTAAATTTCAGTCTAGGTGTTGTCAAGTTTTTACTCCATATTGCTCACCATGCTGGCACTCAGAAGCAGTCAGCTGATTCAGAATTAATTGATTTCTGACAAATTCTGTGTTCAGCACCGTCCATGAAGTGCAAATAATCAAGGAGTATTCTTGTGACAGGTACTCAGGCCTAACTGTCTGATTTCTACTGTGGTATTCAATCCTGTCATCCTCATCAAACACCAGCTCCCATCAAACATAACCTACATGAAGGGGAAAACCTCCTAGACTTTTTAAAAGATTTTAATTGGATTGGTTTGGCTCTAAACGTGCAAACTGTCTGACTCTAATAGAGCCAGGTCACTAAGCATGGAGAGATATTTAAATTAAATCCTTTTTATCTCTTGCCTCAGTGTGTGGCTACATATTCAGTGTCTGCAGTTCACACTGTTTGCAGAATAAATGTTAACCTTCTGATGAAGGCTTAGATATCAGTGCTGGAAAGATAATGGCAGGTATGCGTCGCTACGCTCCATGCTGTCAATGTAGACTTGCTAATCAGTAATATTAGAGTTCCACTGCTACCGAGAGACAGCAGTAACCAAGCTGTGCTATCACTCTTTGATGGTGCTCGCCCCGCAGGTTCTCCACCTACACAGAGGCACAAACTGTACACAGAACATGCAGATCACAGCTGAAGAAGTAAGCGTGTGAACACAAAGACAAACATATAGGAACACAGTAGTGGTGGTGGTGGTGGTGGTGGGGGGGGTCCTGTAAATGAATATAAATCCTCAGAAAGCCTCAGAAAGAGCTGTTGATGCTGCCTGAATAAGGGCAGTCAGCCGTCTCATCAATGTCCCAGTCCATTCAGGCAGAACAGTTGCTGTAACCGTTCCATATTTCTCAGGCTGAGCCAAGAGTGCATGTGGAATGTGTGCTCGGAGTTCTTGGCAGAGAGGCGAGGGGAAGGAAGGAGAGGATACAAGGGCAAGTGCATCACGCTATGAACTTAAAACAGAACTGGCAAAAAACATAGAAAACTGGCCTCTTTACCACTTTAAGACGTCATAGAAAATATTCCGAAGGATTTGCCGAAGTCAACAACAAACATTTCTCTAAAAGCAATTTTCCGACATTATCAGACACAAATGTGAGCCTTGAAAAGTATAAAAATATGTATGTGTCGAAAGCTTTCAACCAATTTGCAAGCTTATCTACATTATGGTTGATGGCAGTCAATTGCACCTTCCATCCAAATCACAAAAAGGTATATTTAGTCGTGTACGGCCACACAGTCTTTAGATATCCACCTCTAAAACATCAGTTTCCACTGACTTGACGACTTCTTCCTAAATAAATCTTCTAATGAACATTCTTCTTTGTGTGTTTACGTGTGTGTGTTTGTGTGTGTGAGATTTTGGTAAACGGACACTTCATGAAAGTAACTGCCCATGACATTGGCACTTCTTTTGTGCCATCAGAGGTGCTGCTGGACCCGTGCCGGACGTGGTGCCCTTCTTCGACCTGCCAGGCCGTGTGCCAACTAAAGGAATCAGATTCTCCAGCGCTGCCCCAGCTGGTCCAGTGCGCCGTCTGTGCCCTCGAGTTCTGCTCGGCCTGCAAGGCCAACTGGCACCCCGGGCAGGCCTGCCAGGAGAACAACCTGCCCATTACCTCCTTCCTACCAGGAGAAAACAGGTACTGCTCTCTGTCTGTTTACTTATTTACTGCGCCCTGTCTGAAATTCTTGTTCTCTGAATTTCTCTCTCATCGCTTATTTTTAGACCAGATGGTATGTTTTTTTTCTTACCTCTGTGTTCTGTACTCTATGAACCATATACACTGATTAGCATATTAATACATGCTTCTCTTCTGGTGACTCATGACGGCTTTGGATGACGACAAGCAATAGCTAGAGCTGAAACAACAAGTGAATTTACAGTTAAACAATTACAGGAAATTTTGATAATCAATAAATGGTATAAGTAATTTTTCTTTAAGGAAATTTTTCCTCCTCAAATATGAATATTTGCTGGTTTTCTTAGTCTTCTGTAGTATTCAACTAAATACATTTGTGTTTTGGACTCTTAGTTGCACAAAACAAAATATGAATATGATGTGTGATGGGCATTTTTTACTTTTTTCTGACACTTTTAGGAAAGATAATTGACAGATGGTTAAAAATATCATCTTTAGTTGCAGACCTTGTGTTAGCGACTGGACACAAAATGTAATTAAAATTGCACTTGAAACTGCTGAAACATGTAATTGTCGGCATAAATGAATTGTATAAGTGATTATTAGCCCACTTAAAATGGATGTATTTTTAACTTTAAAAACATTATTGAAAATTTTAATAACCAACTAATTAAATTTAATGACTTAAGTAATACATTTTTGCTCAGAACATCAGTTAAAATGTTATACCCCAACAGTTTCCAGTTAATGTAATAATGTTTTTATTACCTCTTCAACCTTTAAAAAAAAAAGAAAAAGATGTTTCATTCCATTTTGTCATGGTGCAACAGTATCAGGCCTTGTTTGCTGATGCGCTGACTGGAAATGTTATTCATTTTCTTGGAACTGACGTAGAAATCCACGTCATGCTCACCTGACTGGAGTTAAGGACCGCTTGTCAATATACAGCAGGATTCATTCAGTGCAGCCTTAAATATAGACTGACAGCTGGTCTGGCTGGCTGTTTTGCAGCCACTGCTCAGTTTGAGCATCAGCCAGGGCTCAAGCATAAATTAATAGGCAGACATAAAACAATCTGTTGAAAGTAAACTGCAGTAGAGCAGTCTGAGATGGGCTTACTGTGCATTTTGAGAATTAACTATCTGTCTGTGAGGGTAGAGGAGGGCCTGTCCGGTGTCATATGAAGCTGACCCCTGTCTTTGTGATATCCTCTTACTCCTGAAGAGTCACTGGCTCTGCAGAGCTTTCCTCTATCAGCACAGGTTCGGGACCAAGTTCAGAGGGCACAGGGAAGGGACAGAGGATTAGCAGGAGTACTGTTAGTTGTAAAGAGCCTTGGTGTTTGACCTATATCTGTTCACTGTAAGGATGTCGTCGAGAGCTGGATTCTGATTCTTCTGTGCGCCTCAGGCCCGTTATGACTGGATAAATTCTGAACCTTCTTATTTTAATGCCCCCTCCACTATACCTGATCCAGTAGGCAAGTGTTAAAAGTTCAACATTACATTAGACTCTGCCTGTGATGTGGTTTCACTTCTTATACAACTTTCTTTTCATTATACTTAAAGTATCTTAACTCAACCACTGATTGACTGATGAGCTTTTGCTGAGGATGCTGCTAAAAAAAAAAAAACAAGGAGCTATTTAAATACTGAACAAGAATCTCATCCTCTTCCTCTCTCTAAGCTAATTTTGAGCTGTCTTTTATTCTTTTGGCCAGTTTCACAATGGCTGCCAGGTGTCAGATGAATGAACGGGTACAGAATGTGCCGTAATGCACTTAGAGGCACAGATCTATCAATTCATGGAGAATTGGCCTGGAAATGAATGGGCTTGTTTGCTGTCCTAGGACGACACCCAGAATGACAGCTACCTGCTCGCCCACAGATTTTCTAGAGTCAGCACTTCACTGAAACAGAAGAAATTGATACAGACAAACTGACACCAACAGGAGGGAAGAGTAAGAGCCTGGGAGCCATTTCAAAGGCCATTTAGTGACGGGTGCATTTTTTTTTTTTTTTTTTTAAGAAGAGTTATCGACTCCTGAACTAAAGCTGTCCACCATTTCACACAATCCTGTTCTGCCAAAGATTGTAAATATTGATTACTGCACTAAAGCAATCTCATCTCCAGCACTTCTTGCAATGTGAATGTTGAATGATTTTGGATTTGATATCAGGTATGAAATAAAAAAACACATCAAGCTTGTGTCTCTCTCCTCCCCAGCTCTTTCTATAAGAATGAAGAGGATGACGCACCAATCAAACGCTGTCCTAAATGTAAAGTTTACATCGAGAGGGACGAGGGCTGTGCGCAGATGATGTGCAAGAACTGCAAACATGCCTTCTGCTGGTACTGTCTGGAGTCCCTGGACGTGAGTGGCTCCTTTCTAATTTCTTTATTCCTTGATCTTTACTCCAATAGAGGTCGACATTATGTATTTTCCATTTGTAAAAACCTCTACAGTTTAATATTGCAATAGTATTTCCACACTGTGATAATCTTAGATGTTGACATCATTTGTCTTCCCTGTGACAGTGAAGATTTTCATTATCAGGAGACCGTAGCTTAACCTCGGTGTTGATAAGAAAGGAATAAGATGTATGTTTTTTGTTTTTTTTTAATTCATTAGAAGGCTGAAGAAAGTGACAGCTTTAGCTGAACTTGGATAAGGGTGACTTCTGGGCCGCGGTGCCTTATGTAATCGTAATTGTGTGAGCGCAGAAGACCGCAGGTCATTTAAAAAGCAATTTTCTCACAACAGCTGTCCGTGTCTTTCAGGCTGCTAATGGTCAATCTTTATCTGTATTCTGTGTATGTATTTGTCTGACAGGATGACTTTCTCCTGATCCACTACGACAAAGGGCCCTGTCGAAACAAACTGGGCCACTCCAGGGCGTCTGTTATCTGGCACAGAACACAGGTGAGAAACCCATCTTCCTCACACCCCACCCACCCCCCCCATCATCCTCTTACACTCACTCAGGTTCCACAACCCCCCCCACCCACCCCCCCACCCCCTCTCACCCCCCTCACCCATAACCACGCTTGCAGCATGTGGCTATACACATGCTGTCTGGCTCTGCCTCTTTCTCTCCCTCTGGCTCAACTCTCTCATTCAGAGATGGGCTACTATTATCTTGACAGCACAATGGGAAAAGGACAGCTTGATCCGCATGCAGCGACAAGTGTCTCGTGGTCAGTGTCCTGCTGTTTCCTACTAAGCCTATTATGTACACTTTTCACTTAAAAAAATGGTTTACATAACCAAGGTCCGTCTTTACCTTTAGGTAACCAAATCACATAGAAAGGATTGGATATGACATGTAATTTCCCACATATGAAATGAGGGATTACACATGAAGGATTAGTCATGACATGTAATTTCCCACATGATAACGTGCTTTAAACCTGTGACAGAGGCTGTTGTTCAGTTCCCAAATTTCTCCTCAGTATGTCTACTTAGCCAAATAATCTATTCATGGGTTGGCACATCCCTTGGTCCAACATACTTGTTATTTTGTCAACATTAGCATACACACTGGCATCTGTTGCCCAGTGGGGCAGGCTGAGTCATATGATTACAGTTCAGCTGGTGGAAGAGCCAGCTACAGCTTCACTGCTCTGTGTCTTTGTCTCTCTCTTGCTCTCCTCATTTCACCCTCCTCGCTCCTTCACCTAAAAAAAAAAAAGCCTCCCTCCGATTCCTTCAGTAATACCAGATGTACCGGGGCGAACCTATCTTGCAAAAAAACAAATAAACAAACAAAAAAAAACATCTTCTCCCCTGGTCTGTATCCGATGACATGGGTTCTACGTTTCAACGAGAGGCATAACATCAGTTAGAAGGAAGGTCATGTCCTAAACAAGAAAGCACAATCAGGGTGTGTTAATAAGTGCAAAATGTGCTCCACGCACTGAGCTTCCCACTACTGCACATCCTGTACAGTCACTGTAAAAAGAATAGTCAGTAATGTAGTAATGTGGTTTGTAATAATAATTAGAAACCTTGCCTGCAAATGATGCCCACAAATATGTTTCTTTGTCCTCAAAACAGGAGTGAAAGCATCGTGCTATTATAAGTCACTTCTGCATGTGACTGTGTGTTATGTATTCCATTTTGTTGCTTTGAATTTGCTGGTGTCTGGTGCCCCCATGTGGTGGACTAACTACCAATCAGAGTACACAGAAATTTTCAAATCACAAATGTGCTTACTGTCAATATATACCTTTTCCACAGACCAGCTGGAATATATCCATCCTGTGTGTCAGTTGATTTGAGAATTACATGATTATGTAGCTACACATGGGACTGTGGTTGCAACAATCACACTATGTATCAAAAACTCATTGTATATCCCCAACTTTCTCTTAACATGTTCCAACAGCAAGTAAGCAAATAATACAAACAGGAGAAAAACTTAGCAAGATACTGTATGTGGTGGTTGTATTCCTTAAGCACGGCTGTTACTGAGTCTTTGTCCAAGCACTGGATCCTGAAAGTCAAAATTAATTCCATTTTTTTTATATCGCTCTGTTTAGCGCAACTTTTTTTTTTCAGTCCCTGTAGTTTTACAAATTGTTACTGATCTGCTCCATTGCAGGATATTTTTCTTTCTTTCTTGATGTCAAATACCTGCACATTCAGCATCAATGAGTGTGATGTACATTAATAGTCAGTAGGAATAGAAACCCCACATTTTCAAGCTGTAAAAATTTCTTTTTTTTACTTGAAGAAAGTGTTAAATGGCCAAATTAATAGTAAAACATAGCTTTCTGAAGCAACAGTGCTGAAAAAGGTTTATAGTTTTAATGCACTAGGTGACCTCTGCTGGACAAAAATTGGTATTGCAGTTGCTTGGAAAGATTTCATCCCAAACCTATAGAAACAGTGAATCACAAAAAAATCACCAGTTCTTTTTTTTTTTTTTTTTTTTTTTTTTTTTTACATATATTGTCCACTACAAGTACAATTTAATTGGTTTGCCAAAACAGCTCTCTGAACCTCTGAAGGTGCCTTGTGGTATCTGCCACAGAGACGTTAAGCCCTAAAAGTTTAAATCAATGTGTTAATTATTTTTCTGTTGGTGTCTCCTTGCAGGTTGTGGGGATCTTTGCTGGTTTCGGCCTGCTCCTGCTGGTTGCCTCCCCCTTCCTCCTTCTGGCCACTCCCATCGTCCTCTGCTGCAAGTGCAAGTGCAGCAAAGGCGATGACGACCCCTTGCCAACCTAAACACGCCATAAGGGCTGGAGTGGAGAGTCGCTCCGAGGATGGGCCATCTTTTTTCCTTTTCACCCCTTTACATTGTTTTCCTTCCAGCAGCTTTGAGTGCTTCATTTTTTGGGCTGAGCCCCCCTCCCCCGCCCTGCCCCGCCCCTGCCCCCGGCCGCTTCGGGATCCATCGCTCTGCATGAGAGAGGCATGGTAGAAAAGCGACCCTACACCTTGGCCTGAAGAGAGGTGCAGGGTCAAAGGTCAGAGGAGGTCAGACTTGTCTAAGGACCACTGTGTCTGTGTGTGTAAGACGTTGGTGGTTTGGGGATGTGAAAGAAGACTGGGCCACTTTTAGGTGGCCTTACTGTGGGTTACTGTGGTGTGGTATTTTGGCGGGTCATTACAAAGAAAAAAAATCAATGTTAAGAAATGCTTTTTTCTTGTATGGACAATATCATGCAGGAGCCACCTTAGAAAAAAACTTTTAATTTTTTCGCAATGTTTTGTCGGTTTGTCGTACGCAACAAAAGCTTTTTTTTCCCCACCACCACACCTGATGTAGCTCTACAGATTCAGTCAGTAGCATTAGAGTTACACCACGCATGTTTGGTGTTCACTCGATTTGCACACGGAACATGATTTCGCTGTCATGTTCACGACTGAGGTAGAGATGGGCGGCTGTTGTCACTCTCAACTCAATGTACAGCACGTCCTCTTGATGATGTCAATGTTTTATAACCTGTCGCTTTTAATAGAACCGTGCTCAGAGTAGTGTCTATGTGTTGTACTTTTGAGTGTTTTCCAAACTGTAAGGTACACTTGTTAAAGGGGATTACCACTCAAAGCTCAAAATACACTTATTTTCTGTGGTCAAGTGACAAGGACAACTAGTTTTGTTAACTATCAGCCTATGTTTTATACCCAAATGTTCTTTTTGTAATTATTGTCACCATCTCTCCTAATTCGTTCTCTTTGACGCACCTCCAGATTGGAGTCTTCTTTGTAAGAGAGAGATTGTGTTTCCAGATGTTACAGATTTTCATAATCCTAGATCCAGAAATGTCCAGAAATTGAGTGGTGTTCCCCTTTAGGTTTAGCATTAACTTAAAGTCTATCAGAGGACTTTGTACCCACATGTTGTGGAACCATTTTAATACTTCACTAAAAGAGATGTCACACCTGTAATTCTCAGTCCCCAGGTGATGGTTTAGCCAAATAGAAATGAATAGCCTTAAATTGAGACTAGCCAAAATCAGGCATTTCCCCCTCCCTGTGCTTTAAAAAGAGTTCAAAGTCAAAATCCAAATAATCCCAGGGAAAGCATGTTTAAAGGTATTTTTAAAGCATAACAGACAGTCAGTGAAGCCCTTTATATTCAGATGATTCTATGATGTCATCCATATGCCACACTGTTAATAGCCATACTGTAAAAAAAAAACAAAAAAGGAAGAAAAAAACAAAACAACCGTCCTGATGTTTTGTGTGACCTAGGGCCTGTACTTCCTAAGCCTCTTTGAGCAGGAGTGCTGATCAACATCCATCCAATCCATTTGAAACTTAACTCAGATCAGATCTCCCACTCTTTGAGACTTGGCCCAAATTGCAAACTTGCATACGTTAGTGGTCCGAGTGTCGATGTTTTGTTTTGTTGGTAGGTAGACCTCCAACAACAAGCAGCTATTCCGTGCAGGGATGTCAGAAAAAAAAAAGCCTATAGAGTAAATATAAAAGAATGTTCCATTTTTGGACACACAATTATGAAGCTGCTCTATACTATATCACTTTATCTATGCAAGTTTGTACATTACCATTCTTAAAAGGCTATCGATTGGTCATAATCATGGGTAATCTGTGTGGCAAAAGCTGCCGAATGTCACTATACATGTGCATATCATGGCTTTTATTTAATCAGGGAATTGTTCAGAAACTATCCATTCACTTTCATCATCTGTGTTGCTGTTATCTGTCTTTTACCAATATTTTAAGGTTGCTAGCTTGAACTTCTGGACAGAATTTGGTCATTTTTCATCCGTTAGTGTCTTTGTTTCTCTGGGGAAACTTTTTTGTTTTGTTTTTATACAGTAGAACAACTACACAAAAACAGTTATTTCATGTTACGTCAGTAAAGGTGAGAAAAAAAATGTATAAACCGATTAAATTGAGTTTTGCCACCATGCAAAGCCATTCCAGTGTTCTCAATAAGCCATTTACTTTATCCATTCTTCTGTGTTCATGTAGCATTTCATGATCGGTGTGGCTACAGTTAACATACAAGGTGGTCAATAGTAGATAGAAACATAAATATAACGGTAGCTAATCTAAGATAAACAGTAGCTAATCATCTGCAACTCCCTTCTGTTCTCATAAATTTAGCTCCGATATTCCGTATTATAATCCTTGTTATCAGTAGCCTTACATTTTGAGTACCTTACCTGTAGCCTGTGTTGCTTTCACTGACCTGACCTACTGTATGAGCATGATAATTTGATATCAAAGCCAGTCCAATTTTCTACCTTTAAAGTTTAGTTCCTAAACCCTAAAATAGTTTAATTCCAGAAGCTTTTGTTGTTTTAATGACAATCGTGCCAAGCAGATTTCCTGGAAGGGATGAGGAAACAGAGCTGTCTACTGTTTGTGCATTTTGACCATGTATTTGTAATGTATTAACAGTTTTTACAGGGTGGAAAATATTTAATGCTTCTTTTATGTAAGCGCTGCACTGTATATGGGTTTCATTGTTTTACTTCTTGATATGATCTGTGATGTGTGTGGTATGGTGCCTGCTGTGTTTAATGGAGGAGTTAAACAGCTCAAATCAATGTCAACTCAACAGAAAAGTCAATACATATGAGAGATTTGCAACTGTACTTTGTAAGGGTTTTCACAGTTTCATCTATCAGGGGTCTGTCTATCACCAGGATACAAATGGTTTTCAAATATATTCATTCAAACACACAGATAACAAAGTTTGAGCAGGCACAAGCTAACAACAAGTCAAATAAAATCATGACCACCTCCATTTTTTCACACAACATTCTTCGTTACTTCTGTTTGCTGGCACCACTGAACAGGTAGATGCTGTATTATGCAACAAACATAAAAGGGCCAAACAGCAAACATAAAAATCACTGCAGTGTCACGTTGCATAATTATTCATTTTCTAGGGCCATGAGATGTTTGTCAGGGCTCCATATAAAGGTTTATAAAAAACCACCTAACATCAGCACAGGTGTTGGAACAGGACAGTTTGACACAGTTAAAGGCTTCTGGCATTTGGCCCTCGAATGAGAAGTAAGGTAAAAGTGTATTTTACAAAGGCTCGAGATCTACTCTGCAGCTATCCTAAGATCAAGTTTGGTTACGAGCAGCAATTTATATTTTATAACCTGTTGTGTCAAGAGATGAAGCTGCATGATTTTTCTCTGACTTCTATTTGTGAAATATTACTATATTGTAGCCTCTAAAGATCTTTGGAATGGTAGCGTTGTTACCCTTTCGCCCAGCTGTCTGTTGTTTTGTTTTTTCTTTCTCTTTTTTTTTTTATTTTTTTTTTTTAGAAAATATATTTTACAATGTTGGTCAGCCTTCCTCCATTCAGCAGATTGGTTTCATGTGTCTGTTACTTTTTTTTGTTGTTTTTTTTTTATATGCCTGTGTTACACCATAGTTGTTGTATTTGCATTATCTTTTTAAAGAGTGGAATTCCTTAGGCCTGATTGGTCAATTCAGTTTCAGTCAGTCACCTCAGTTAGTGGATCATTGTCAGAGGAAATGCTGTCTGTACACACGGCTTCTGTGTTTAGAGATGGTAAACAGCGTCTCTAGTTCAAATAGTAATCGAAAGTTAATCGACGTGGGTGATAACAAAGAAATCAACATTGTAAAATGGCATATTTGGATCAGTTCTGAACAACGACTCGGCATCTCAATATATCTACAGTTCCACTAACACTGTGACACCAGGTATTAAAGGTTGTTGTTTTTTGTGATTCTGCTCTCTTCATTCATTCACACTAATGTGCTGAAATATTTCAAACATACCATGAAGAAGTCTTGTGGCCCACCAGGTTGCGAAATGGCTCTCTCTGGTGCTGAAAGTGTATCGCTCTCGTTTGTGTTAACAGGAAGACCTACAGCACAGGAAGATGCGCACAAATATTACATATCAGTTAAACAAGAGATTAATATTTCTAAATCAGTCTGCAAAAGATTAGATATGAAAAATAAACTGAACATCTTTAGTAGAACAACTAAAAGCCACAAGTACAGTTTAGAGTTATCTAGTCTTTATGTTACAAAATGACAAAAATGTACCTTCCCTTGATAAGAGTAGAATAAGTGATAATAAATAATAATAGATAATCAGCAATAAATGGAGACAAACAAAACAATGTACCATTACAAATGAAAAATGGATGTCAAAAGAGCATGTAATTGGTTTTTCATTTTTAATTGTTCTCATCCTCCTAATTAATAACTTGAGTCATATAGTAACTTTTTGAACCATAGGAGGTGTTTTTATCGTTCTCTCTTCTTAACAATGACCTTTTGTCGAGAATGTTCACATCCTCTTATCTAGTCTTTGTTTTGCTTGCATCAAGCATCTTTCCTTCATATTCAAGGCAGCTCTGTCTGTTATGTCTGTTCCATTGCAGCTCTGTCTGTTCATCAGACATGTGTCAGCCTTTTGTTAAGGTCTGCCAAAGAACAGGTTGTTCTCTCCCTCTCTCTGCCTTTGTGTCTATTTCCTGCCAGATGCTGGATTGGGAGCATTAACAAGACAACCCTGAAAATGAAAGTGCAAACGCTCGATGATATATCATCCCTCACCAGCTGTTCTCTGTTTGGAAGTCTCTCCACCAATCACTGGGCAGGACCACAGGAAGTTACCATCTGTGGGCACCATGGCGACAGGGTTTGTGGATGGGCGTTGAAGCTGATGTGTTATCTGGAGCAAATGAAGTATGATACAGGGGTAGAGAGAGAGCCAGGAGGTGTGGGGAGGGAAATGGGAGAGATGGACAGAGACAGGGAGGAGTGTGTCGCCTGGAAGACAAAGAGCTGAACCTCAGAGAAACAGGAGACGCAGAGCCAAGCTGCATTGCTGGGAGAGGGATGGAT